TGGTTGGATGAACTTGGATCAAGTAGTATTCTCTTCCAGGAACCAAGGCTTGAAGTTCGGTAGGGGAGAGAGAATACATCCGGCCGAGGGGCGGCTCGGCACCTTCCTCGAGGTCGATCTTGAGGTCATAGGGATGATGAGGTGCGAGGGTGTCGGCCTTGGATTTGCTGAACACGTCCGGAAATTCGTGGTAGTCTTCCGGGACGGAAGAGAGGTCGACGGGTTCCGGGTTGTCGGTAGCCAAAGAGCGAGCCGAGACCGAACCGTCGCCGGATAGGGCCAGTTGGAACAAGACTGACCCCGGAAGACGGCAGGCGCATGCGAAGGCGACTGCATTGATGAGGGAAACGTGAGGCAAGGGAGTGGATGGTTTGGGAGAAGGTTCATAAGGAAGGGAAGGAGTAGGCTGGGAATAGGAGGGACTGGAAGTGACTCGGCAATGACTGGAGTGGGCGGTAAGGCGGAAGCCGAACGGCCCGATAGACTCGGAAGAGCCTCGGATTGCGGAAGACGTCGGAAAGAATGTAAAAGGCCTGCGGTCCAGTCAATCAACGGATTGTAATTACGCAGCCAATTGTATCCAAACACTAGGGCACATGAAGAATCCAGTTTAGTGACAAAGAAGGTCGAGGAGAGAATGTCGCCGGTCGGATATCAGATAGGGATGTCGGCAGCTTGGGTTATCCAAGTGTTAACAGTCCCATCAAGGAGGCGTAAGGCTAAAGGAGGTATATCATAAGTGGAGACATTATGTATAGATACGAAATTAGTGTCAATGAAACAATGAGTGGAGCCAGAATCTACCAAGCCGGTGGCAGGAACCATAGATCGTGAGTGTAATGTAACAGGGAGCGTGAGGGAGTCGGGGTCGGATAGTGCTGCGGCATTAAGGCAAACTTCTTTGGGGACATTGCGAGAGCAACCGCAACCCTCTGGCAATGCCGAAGGCGGAGGGCTGCTTACTCTTTTGCTGTTCCGGACTTAGTGTCCTTCACAGCCGGAGCGGCAGGTGCGGAAGCGGTGTAAGGAGGAGCGGCCGTAGTAGACGAGGCGCGACCTTTGGCGGAGTTACGCTTGCGACAGTCGGAAGCAACATGGCCAGCTTTGCCGCAGAAGAGGCAGAGGCCTCCCTTGAGCCGGCGTTCACGTTCCTCGGGCTTGAGCTTTCCGTCGGCACCCAACTTGTCAGCCAGAGGATTTGGCTTATCCGAAGAAGAGCCTTTGGATTTTGACTTATCCTTATCCTTGCTGTTGTTGCTGGAGTTGGAGCCGGACTTGGAGTTCGAAGAGCCGGAGCCGGAAGACGACCCGGCTGAGTTGCCTTTGGAGTTTGATGAGCCGGAGTTGTTGCTGCTGTTGTTGTTGCTGGTGCCGGACTTGCCGTTGGCGTTGTCTTTGCGCTTTTCGCGATTGATCTCGTTTTGGCGCTCCCAATAGCGATGATCGAGTTCTTGGGCGGTTCGCTGCAAACTAATGAGGGTGGTTGGCTTGCCCATACGAGGAAATTCATCCTTGATCCGGTTCGGAAGTCCTTTGTAGTACTGATGATAAAGGGCTCGTTCGTTCCATCCTGTGCGACCCGCATACTGGTTGAATTCCAAGGTGTATCGCGTTGCTTTGCCGGAGTCTCGGAAGGTGAGATTCTCGAGGTGGTTAACGGCATCCGCAACCGGATCTCGTGGGCCGAAAAGTTGCTTGAGCTCCTGAACGAAGAGCGCAACATCCGAAAGCCACGGAAGCGGCTGGGTCATACCGGTTTCGAGGGCGGCAGTGATTTGTGATTGGAACCAGTTGTAGGGGGAGCCGGATAAGTACGACATAATGAAGCCGACCTTGGAGTCTTCGGTGGTGAACTTGTGGGGCCGGAGCAAAATATACATCATGCACTGGACGAGGAAGGGATCCAACTTTTGGGCGCTTGTACCGTCGAACACATCCGGAGCCTTCAACTTGGGCCGAGGAGTCAGCTCTTGACGCGGCTGCATCATGGGCATATTCAACATGTTCCTGGCCATGAGGTGGATGGCTTCCGTGAGCTGAGTTTGGTTCTGAAGGAAACGAATTTCGGCAGGTTCACTTCCCGAATGATCCGTGCTTTCCGTCTCCATTTGTTCAAGAACAGTTGGAAGAGCCGGAGAGAGAGGAACCGGGGTATGGAAACCTGTGGGTTGGTACGTTCCAGTCCTCAGGTAAGTGCTTTCAGCTGGTGGAAAATGAGCGGGTGTTTGCAGAGGACTGAGAGGACCTTGCGGCTCGGGTGCCCATGGGTTATCGAGGTACGGTGCAGATACGGAGGCCGGGGCGCGAGTTGGTGTTTCCGGGTAGAGCTGTGCTGGGTGTAAGATAAGGAGTGAAAGGGTTTCATGGAGAAGGTTGGAGAGGTTGTTGGAGTGTTGGAACCGTTGGACGACGATGACGGGTGAAGGAAAGCATGGTTTCTTGAATACCAGCTTGTTGGGCAGTCCTTGTTTGACGAGGCCGACCTGTAGCCATGTAGACAGACTATTCGAGCTTGTAGTCTGAATATACTGTTACAACCTGTGCTGAGCCGAGGTGTGCCGGAGACCGGGTGCATTCGGATGTGCTTCGGAAGAGATTTCGGATGTGGACTTTTGGCTTCAACGTTCGTGCGTTGCGCCCTTGAGATAGTCTAAGTCCAATTTCAGAGTATAGGCTTTTAGGCCAGTGTCGGATGTCGAACGGATGCAAGCGGATGAGAACGATGAGAACGAGAGGAGGAGATTAGAAGTCGAGTATGATATTCAGACTGCCGGACTCGGTCGTCCTGCAGTCCCTTAAATACTACAACGAATAATGGACTACCTATGACAATGAGCCGTCGGCTGTCTAACTCGTGGAGGGAGCGTGTACGCTAATGACAATAGAATAATGAGGCACGTGTACGCTAGGAAAATCAAAGACAAATAACAAACAAAAGAACAATATAATCGAAGAACCGAAACGGCTATGAACGGATGTCTCTCGGATGTCTTCGGCACGGAACGGGTCGTGACAATCGTTTATTTTACCTGTATGCATCCTATACTGATTCTCTTGCTTGAAGATAAATCTCGTTGTTGGAGACTATTTCAAAGCCGAATCCCCACTCCTTGCCTATACAGACCAAGCCAACGAGCTTATTACCTGGCTGAGAAGTAAGACCATACTGCTCAACACACTCCGGGAGAAGCAAGAGAGCCTCGGCCAGTGTGTCTTAACCATTATCCGTGCGATCATCACCAGGTGGACAATGCACCTACGTGCCTATGAACACCTCCTCCTCGTGTTTCAGACCCTGCATCTGATCATACTCGAAGATATGGCTCGAGCAAATGAGAATCAAAAGGTTGTTATCACAGGTGACACAAAAGCGAAGGCCAAAGCACGCGAAATGTGTGCCATTATCCAGTCAGATCTATTCTGGCAGTCACTTGCACGGTAATGGCAATTCTTGAGCTTTGATTATATAGGTCTGATGGTTTATAGTGTCGTTCGTCATCTCCATCCACTGGGAATTGCTGCCAATATTATACAATCTGCATTCTGTCGTCTTGATATGGTGATCCTGACATTCGGCTCTTTGGTCTACGAGTACAAGCAGATGACAGACCCTGACGACATCCCAGGATGTACAGCAATTATTGACAGCATCGAGCGACGCTGGTCAAAGACTGATCAGGAACTCTTCATCGGGGCACTCATTGTCAACCCCTTATACCGGCAGGAGCCACTCGCGCACCTTCCCCATTTTACAAATGCATCAATCATCTCCCTTCTTGGTCGTCTCTGGAAGAGGTTCAATAGAGCTGACAGAGTACCAGATCAATTCAAGATCGAAGCAGGAGAGTATCTCAGTGGTGAAGGATTGTTCCACAACATCAACAAGATGACCCACATAGAGCGCAATAAGGTGAAGGATAGTGTAAGTTAAATCAATGATTGGAGCGTAATCATAATTTCAAATTATCTAGGAACCTGTGCGCACACCCGATCCCATTAATATCCTGCGAGGATATGGCCACGGACCATCATTTGGCCTATTTGTGACCTTCGCAATGAGGCTTCTCACAATCAACGCCAACTCGGCATCTTGTGAGCGCTTATTCAGCGTCTATGGTGCCATTCTCACGGACAAGCGGAATCGGCTTCTATTGGACAACATGAGGAACCAGGCTGAATTGAAGGCACAAATTCGGGATGAGCACCAGAAGGACGGGACTGCAAAAAAGCGCCTCCATGAGCGTTTTCAGAGCCACAAGCAATCAAGTCGCGCAGCAGAGAAGGCCCCTGCGAGCAGAGGGGCAGATTCAGGAGTTGATACAGCTCGATACCAGGTACCCACTGGATCCAGCACTTCGCAACCGGCCCCTAGAGTGGTGTCTGTGGTTGGAGAATCAGAGCAGATGGAAGTAGACGACGTGCGAGAACCAGCAGCACCTTTGCCACCACCAAATACGCTTCGCAATTTTGTTGAGATACAGCAAAGAAGAGTAACGAATGATGACACCGATAATGATCCTCTTTTTTCTCCTAATACTGTTTCCAGAGCTTCCTCAAATCATTCTGCTGCTACTTTGGCCCCGTCTCCATCAACCGTGACAGCCTCTCCAGGTCCAATTCTATCAACTGCTGCAGGCTCTAATGCACAATCATCGTCAAGATCCCAGGTCGAGATGCGACTACCCCTTCTCCCAATTGCAACAATTTTTAACTTCGAGAACACCTACTGGAAGAAAACCTTCGACTCGATGACAATATTGACGTTTGACCAAGAGCTGGAATTGTTTGAGTTGCTTGATCTTGATGCAGATGGGGAGGATGCGGGCGTAGATGTCGATGAGAGCACGGGAGAGGTTCTTTTAGGTTAAATTTGATTGTCTAGCTACAGATATACTATATTTTGACTACTTCATCCTTAAATGCCGTTCGCCGCTGGCGCTCGTACTTAGATCAGCGCTCGTAGCGTGTTGATGCGAGTCATGACTAGTCATGACCCGAAGCGATGACTTTGATCGCTAGTCACTGGGAGTCATTAACTCGGTTAATGACCGGCACAACACTGGAGTATACGGCATTCAATCCGTAGCTCGAAGGGCCGAAATCGCAAAACTAGACTGAAGGGCGCATTATAAGATATCTAAACTCACGTTCTCCATGCTGAAGTTCTCTGGTTTCAGAAGCATGCTGCATATGAGACCGATTTGTCGACGTGGGGGGCAATCCCCTAGGATCCATCGTGCGGGGTTGCGTTGACATTTTGGATTTCAAAATTTCATGCTTTGAGCAAAGTCAGAATTGGATATTTGAGAATCTGAGCCAATAATGCAATCCTTGGTGGGTTTCTTAAGTTTGGATGACGGTTCAGGAGGACTCCGAGTGGAATTCGTACCCTAGTGGTCGGATATTCAAATAGGTTCACACGGCTATTGTGGGTCAACTTGTTGTGATCACCCTCGTGTTTTACAGCCCACCAGCCCACAATCATGGCCGACAACGACAATTTGATTGCGCCGCCGCCCACCTCAATTCCTCCTACCACGAACCGGAATCTGGTACCTCCTGACACTCCCCGACACGATCGAATGTCGTCCACCGAGCCCCTCACGTCTACAGCTTTCATCAAGGACGATGTGTTCATCGCAGCCGCCAACGAGATGAAGGGGAAATTTGTTGGATTCATAAAGCCAGAGGTCTTTCTCGACCGCTTTCTACCAATTTCGGTGAATGCACCTGCTATGCCACCAGTCAATCGCGACAAGTTCGTTCCTATCGCGCAGTTGCAGAAGGAGCCAGATATGTATGATCCCTTGGTGTGTCTGATTCTTTATCTAGTTAATCTTGTTATTTCAATGATCGTCTCTAGATAAAGGCTCTCGAACCGTTCTGCAAAGACATCACGTTGGTCAATACGTCTGCCGTGGAAGATAAGGGGACTAGAGCCTTGCTTCACCGGAGCGTCAAGCCCGACATTTCCTGCTATAAATCTGATGAAGTCCCTTCGCGGCCTGACATCACCTGCGCCCGGAGTATGCTGAGCTACATTGAATTGAAGAACCACGAGCACGACGAACCATTCGGCGTGGCCAGCAAGGATCCCATCGAGCGGACCTCGGACGGCGCACGCGACACGCGAGGGCAACTGGCGACTTACGCCAACGCCATTCAGGCAACTCAATTCCGAACTCACGTCCTTTCTGTTGTCATTAATCGCTCTCGCTGCCGCTTCATCCACTGGACTCGAAGCTGCGCCATCGTCACGGAAGGCTTTGATTACACCTCGGAAGATTGGCTTGCGAAGTTCTTTTGGCGCCTCTCTCACGCCGGTGACGTCGCTCGTGGCCTCGATACGAGTGTTATTCCGCTGAATACAGTTTCTGAGGAGACAACACGTGCCCGCCGGGCCCTGGGCATCACAGATGAAGTCCCGATCTTCAAGATATCGGTCACCGACGATCAAACCAAGAAGACCAGCTATTACATCGTCAGTGAACCCTTCACGAAAAATCACGTTCACCCTCTCGGCCGTGGCACGCGGTGTTTTCAAGCTTTCGACTGTCAAACGAAAGCCATCGTTCTCCTCAAAGATACATGGCGGATCGAGGGGTACGAAAAGGAGGGCGATATCTATCGAGAGCTGCATAAGCATGGTGTCTCGTATATCGCAGGCCTCGTGGCAGCAGGTGATGTAGGCGGTGTGACGAATACCTGCGGCAAGACAAGCGAGACGTGGAAGCATCGCGTCCACGTTCATTACCGTCTTGTACTGGACACTGTCGGCTCCCACCTCACCGACTTTGACTCGACCCACGAGATGGTGACAGCAGTGCACTGCGCACTCATCGGTACGTCAACGCGTTTATGGGTTGGCAATCTCTGACGTCTGTTCTAGCCCACTTTGAGGCGGTGACCAAGGCGGGAATACTTCATCGCGATGTTTCTGTCGGAAATATCATCATCACCGATTCCGGAGGTTTGCTCATCGACTGGGAGTTCTCCAAGAAGCTGAGCTTAATAGGGGCGCGAGTCCTCGAGAGAACGGTATTGTCTTTCAGCGTTTGTCACTTATGTACTCTAACCCTGCTGTAGGGAACCTGGCAATTTGTGTCGATACGTTTACATGAAGGCCTTGGTAAACTTATTCACAGGGTCGGTGACGACCTGGAATCTTTCCTCTGGGTTCTTGTCTGGGTCGCTCTTCGGAACGCCAAAAATGACATGACCATCCCGCAACGAGCACTGTTTCTGCAAGCCTTCGACTACTCTGTTGATGGAGAGGGTGGATTGGCAAGGAGGAACTATATCCGACAAGATTACTTGGCGATCGAGGACGTGAAGCTGGACAACGAGTTCTTTTCGCGGATTCTCAGCATTCTTTGGTCGAAATTTGGTGCTCGGTATGGTACTACTGCTTTCCGCACGAGGACCGTGTTGCAACAGGACAAGTGGTCGGTGGAGCTGGAATCACACGAGTGGATGCTCGGTGAGGTGAAAAAGGCGCTGAAGGACGAGGAGTGGCGCAACTGCGGCCGTGATGGCTCGGTTAAACAAGAGTATCATACCTCCCTTCCTTCAACTAGCCGGAAACGCAAGGGATCAGACTCGTACCCTGATCTCCCAAGACATACACGTCGCCACTGATTCGAGATAGTTTACCAATTCCACTTGCAGCCTTTCATGCGTGGCTCGTATCGCAATCACCAACATGCATTTGCACCTCTTCGAAGCATTCTTAGATGGATTCCTGGCGTTATCCACAAGTTCAGGTATAGTATAAGTAGAGTCAATGATATCGATGCTTTATGCTATGCAACTTTGCAGGCTTTCCGTGCCGATTGGAGACCTCATTCGACTACTCTAGATCTCTGTATACCTAGTCCCGCCAGTCATCTGGCTTCGAGTATACCAATACTAATAGGTCAAACTGGTTGAACGATTGGTTCCAAATCCATGACGAGGAACATCCCTGCAAGTGCCACAAGCGTGGCGGACCTCACTGCGACTTGCCCGACACTTCTAGGCTCTGGATCACCATGACAGTTGCATCTCTCCGAGGTTCTGCCACTGTTCAGAGCGAACGGTGAATTGCAAGAGATTAGATAGATGGGTATTGTATCAGGACATGCCGCAGAGAAACAGTCAGCTCAAAGGCAAGAAATGGTATCAAAAAGTGAACGTACGAGGTACAATCAACAACAGCCTAGTGCACTTCAGAACGATGCGTACGACCACGGCGACGGCGCTTCCTTGGATTTAGGCATTCCAGAAGAGACAAGGATCTCCTGGATACCTGCTGATCCTGCTCGAAGCCCGTTCTCAAGGACCACGAGTCTTGCGATCGCGAGGCGGCAGAGCTGTATGTGTTTCCGGAAACGAATTGACAATCCACCGACTTGCACTCGCCAAACGTCCTATCGATAAAGACGCCCCGGACGCAGGTCGCACTTGCGGCGTCTGAGAAAGCCAACCAAAGGACGTGGTGCTGTAAGAACCCTTCGGCCGTTCGCAAAACCTTCTGGATGTCGAAGGCGTTCGCCCTTGTCGCGATTGCGACGATGACTTCAACGATGGCGTCCCAATTGGCGGTGTTGCGCCTGGGAAGGTTGGTGAACACCAAGAAACGAGAAAAATGCGGATATCCGAGAAAAGGGCCCGCAAATGTAGGGCCTAGAATCGGAGCTGACATCAGAGCGTCGATGATCAGAGGAGTGTTGGCGAAAGCGTCGGACGTTGTTGGCGACGGTGACAAACACTGACAAATATTGTCTTCATCATTCGAAACGACGACCTAGTAATGCAGCATGTCTCCTGACACCACTGGAATCCGGTTCATCCTCTTCAATTGTCCCCATCCTTCTATTTTCTGATTTTTTTTTATAGATAGTAACCTGTCTCATAATCATTATGCGGGCAGTTGTTCGCACCAAACATCCATGTTGCGAGTTTCTGCCCTACGGTTCCGTTCGCATTTCTCTCTCCCCAAGCGCCGAATGTTTTCCACATCTGCATCCTGGGGCATGAATCTACCACCTGAAACCGAGCTATACGAACAAACTAACGGCCGCTGGCTCTTCAATGAGGCTCAACGTGAGTTCCACATCGAGACCATGTTCTCCAAGTTCTAATGTCGTGGCGCAGAACAAGAAATCCGGCGCGTCAATTTCAACGTTTCTGAACTCATACGTGTTGCATGTGCTGCTGCTGGTGCAGGTTCTTGCTTATCCATCCAAAAAATTGCTGAAGGTACGCGACTTACCCCATGTACCGAACTTGAACCACTCAGTTCAACGTCTTCTCAAGGATCCTTCAATAAAATCTTCCGCCTGCGCTTCGACAACTCTAAATCACTCATTGCCCGCTTACCCTCTTCACGTATGTTTGGCAGTGGGGTCTCTTGGGCCATTGCGAGCGAAGTTGCGACCATGACAATTGCTCGCGAGAAGCTGAACGTTCACACACGGCGTGTAGTTGCGTGGAGCAAAGAGTCGGACACAAGCAAAGAACCCGTTGGCTGGCCCTACGTTCTGATGGAAGATGTAGACGGCGTCTTGCTGGACAAGGAATGGCTCATGTCAGAGATGCGGGGCGCTCCTGTGGCGGAACTGCTCACGCAGGTCGGCAACGATATGCACAGGATGACTGTCGCCCCGTTTTCGCAACTAGGCAGTCTCTACTTCCCAGCCGACCTTCCCTCTGCCCCACCTCTCGCTGCACCGATGGTGTTGGAGGATCAGGTGCGTGTTGGCCCCATCGCCGATCCTTTGTGGTGGCGTTCGTATCATGACGAACCGCACCTCGATCGCGGCCTATGGGACACGTTGGAGGACTATATCAATGCTGCTGTGCGTCTTGAACAGCGTGCCGTAGAGCGCCACCGCGAAGACCCCTCCTCTCTGTCCTACACAAAGTCATCAGTTGAAGACCTTGTCCAAGTCGACCGTCTTCTCGACAAGGTCACAGCACTGGCACCCCATCTTCAGCAAGCTGTCGAACGTGCCTCTCCTCTCCCAGCACGATTCATGCAGAATGTCCTCTTACATCCTGACATCCGCGCTCAAAATGGTGCCGAAGCTTACCGCCGAAAACAGTGAAACTCGGATGGAGGACCCAGTCTTTATCGATTGGCAAGGCACGACTGTACTCCCACTGGCATTGCAATGGTGCGTTCCTCCCCTCGCCGAGTATGAGCCCCGTCTTTTCCAGCAGGATGGGCGTCCAGTGCTCGAAGTCCGCGGCATCTCTGAAGTTGAATGGCCCTCCGACATTGACGAGCTAGATCCGTCGGAGCAAGAGGTTGTCCGTGCAGAACACCGGATCGCGACGCGCAACGTCCGCTGGATCCAGCATTTCCTCAGTGTGCAGACATATGCCCACCTGTTCGCCTTTCCCCTTCAGCGGTATCTCCATATCCTCACGCAAGGAATTCTGCGGGCCTGTGCTGATGGGCCACACACCCTGAGGTTCTTGTTGGTGCATATGAAGACTGCATGGGACGAGGATTCGGAGAGTTTGGCCCTTGTCCCTACACACTTGAGTCAGATGAGGCCCAAAGGTACCAGGAAGGGCAGGAACGGGTGGAACGGTTTGATGCTGCACTCTCATGACTGGTTGTGCGCCTTCGATGTACCAGAGACGGCTGTGTGGAGCCAAAGGACTATGAAACCTCTATGCGAGAATTAGAGCGCGCACGTCTGGAGTGGGATGAAGACGCTTGTGGAGGGCCATTCCCATTTGAAGATGGTAGGTGGGGACAGTACCTGAGGTGATTAGTGATATGTTATGAAAGTCCTGGTTTGAATGTTATGGTGGAATAAATATCTTGGTTCAACATTGCGAGACAAACGCAGAGCTGTATGTGTTTCCAGAAACGAATTGACAATCCACCGACTCGCATTCGCCAAACGTCCTATCGATAAAGACGCCCCGGACGCAGGTCGCACTCGCGGCGTCTGGGAAAGCTACATGGTGCTGTAAAAAGCCTCCGGCTGTTCGTTTTCCGGATGTCGAAGGCGTTCGCCCTCTATTGCGACGATGACTCCAATGACGGCGTCCCAACTGGTAGTGTAGCGTCTGGGAAGCTTGGTGAACAGCTGACATCAGAGCATGGTGAACGTCGGACGTTGTGGGCGACGGGACAAACATTGACAAATATCGTCTTCATCGTTCAAAACGACGACCTGGTAATGCAGCATGTCTCCTGACACCACTGGAGTCCGGTTCGTCGCCTTCAATGGCCCCCATCATTCTATTTTCTGATTTTTTAGATAGTAACCAGTCTCATTATTTGTTCTCGGGACGACAGTCATTTAGAGACTTAGATCGTAGCCATTGGCCAACAACCTTCTACGACACCGCCCCACCTTCACTGTTAATCCGGTGGGTCTTGTGGTATCATGACTATTACCCACTCAAGCGATACTTCGCCAACGAATTGGAGAGGGGATGGAGTCGGAGGTGCTGGTCTGCGACCTTCAGACTTTCAAAACGGCGTATCTCCCCTTCGCACCACAACAATGCGACGTTTAAGCGTGCCTTGAACATCTTGCAGCAGCCCGAGTCTTGACCAGCGGTGTCGATGGTGCATACAGTTGGATGGCTTTTGAAGTCTCACCATCCAACTCTTCCGAGGACGAAGACATAACGTTCTCTCCATTACAGGCAATCTGTGAGAAGATATCCGAATTCCCGCTCATTCGCGGAGATCTGGAGAACACTATCGCCAACTTCGCCTTCATCCAAACTCTGTCCGAAATGAAAGGATCGAACCACAAGATCGATGGGTTTTTCAAACCGATTAATCTTCAGTTGGTGAAAGACGAGAAAATTCCCAGCTCCACAGTGGCTGTCAGTGCAGGATTCAAGAAGAACAAACTCCCGTAGGATGTGCTTGATGTACGTGCTTCATTTGTCTGCTCCTCTACTCCGTTTATGCAATCTTCGCAGAATCGCCTCAAGATCCTCGCTGCAGTTAATCATATCATGAATGAGGGTCCTCGGCGCATGTTTACCTACGGTGTGAGTATGTTTTCTTCAATCTCGCAACCATTTTCTCTTACACGTCTCCTAGATAACCATTGAGGAAGATGATGTGTCTCTGTGGTACTTCTCTAGATCACATTCAGCAAATCGCGTCACTTTGGATTTTTCGCTGTACATATTTTTTTTCACCTCTTCCGCGAACCTTCTGCTGACATCATCTTCACAACTCTCAGGACCCGAAGACTTTCGTCTCTGTCCTCCTCTCTTTTATTCTTGCGACGGAAACTGAGCTCGGCTTCGACCCGACCATCTCTCGCCTCTCTCCGGTCTCCTACGTCTACCAAGTTAGCGATCGGTTCTTCAAGACAATTCGCATGATTTCGGAATACCAGCCATTATGCATAGCTGACCGCATGACACGCGTTTGGGAGGCGGTAGAGGTGGCGTCGTTCATCGACCCGACGCCCAAGCGTGACGCGCGTTCTATAGCGCTCAAGGACGTCTGGCTAGATGCGTCGGGCCAGACGGAAAAAGAGATACAAGCGGCCCTTTTCAGCGACCTGGAGGAGTTCAGACAGGTGATAGAGTCCAAGGACCCAGAACAATTCACAAACTTCACTGAGGAGATGAAGGCCGAAATTCGAGACTGCCTCAAAGGCGAAGTCTACAAGAAGCACTTCCTGAACATTGAATGCGACTACCAGGGCAAAATTCGAAGGCAGTCCCGGCATCGGCTTACCGTCTGGATGGCCTCTTTTCCTCTGAGAGCCCCTCTCCTCTAGTGTCCTCGCGCCAGTCCCTTGTTCCCGCGGCCGAGCCATCTTCCCATCTACAGCCCACAACTCCCGCCTCTCCCGCTCTGTCCCGAAAATATGCGCCGAAACAGCAGTATCGCGTCGTGTTCAAGCAGTCTGCTGTACGCTGCGTGACTTGAACGATCTTCAGACGATGATGGACTGGTTCCTCCAGGCTAGCACAGGTGAGTACGCCCTCAGCTATTATCCGTTATGTTATGAGCTGATGTTTGAATCAGCCCTTCAATTGCTTTACTGTGCTGGATGGCTGCATAGAGACATCAGCTCCGGCAATTTGCTCTGGTTCGACTCCGGAGATGGCAACTTGCAGATGGTGCTAGGAGATCTGGAGTACGCGAAGCGATTTCGTGCTGGAATTGGGAGCCCTGATTCTAAAACAGTGATTATAGTTGCGTCTCTTTGACGTCAGTCCGACTGATCTATAATCAGGGAACCTCTTATTTCATGCCGTATGAAGTGCACGAAGGGCTTCATCTTTACCTCTCTCAGCCGCGACAGCCGATGGTACCCATTCAAGAGTTTGTTTTGTTTAAACAACAGCAGGTTCCTCCTATATTTGTGCGCCATTCGTTCCAGCATGGCCTCGAATCCCTCTGGTGGGTCCAGCTGTGGTGTGTCATTGAGCGGATAAACGAAACGTCTCTGCAATACGCAAACAAGATTTTCCAGACCACATATCGTCCTAGTACGGACCGGCAAGATGCCTTCCTGGTGCCAGGCATCCTTGCTACAAACCTCAAAACCTCCCTTCCCCCCGATATGCACCGCATGCTTATAGGCACTGAACATGAACGTATCGTTCTTGTGGACCATTATATTCGAAGAGAGCAAGAGAATAAACTCGAGGATATTGCATCCTATTCCGAGACATATGCTGTATTCCACGACGATCAGTCATATTTGAAGGAAATTTGCCCAGCCATGTTGCTTGCACCTATCCGCCAAGTGATCCTTGTTCAGACTCCCTCATAACCATCATCCGAGCAAGTTGATCTCCGCTGCATGTACGAGGTGCAACAACATCGTGAGTTCGTTCTAAGTATGCACTCTACCTTGTATAACATCACTTCAGGGCATGAAATCTAAATACCACTTGCCATGAGCCTCAACTGCTCCAACTTCTTCGCCAACTGTACAATCCAACACCCCAGCAATCCCCTGCTGCATAAACCCAGGCAGCTTCTTGAACATATTCGACCCCTTCCAATGAGGCTCAGTCGATCTTGCTCCGTCCGCATGTGCTGCTCAAAGGATGACAAGAGTTCGATGTCGCCCTTAGAGATGAACGAGGATGCCAATTGTTCCATGCAGACCGGTGTACACCAGGACTTCGCGCCCTCCTGCGACGAGCAAGGTTTTGTGGAGGGAGGTTATAATGGAAGCTTCCCATAGCCTGCTTCTCCTGATACCCGTTCAACTGCCCATCTAAATCCACCTCAAAGTATACAATCTCAGCAGAACTCAATGCTACGTCGGCCTGATGCTTATTCATTGCAGCACTGACGATCGGGTTTCCTTCTGGTGCTCGCCATTCGCTGATGTGTTTATCTGCGGGGATTTGGCGGATACAAATGGATGAACTCGAAGGAGAAGAGAGATCTCATTGACGGAGAATACGAGTTTGTGGACGAACCTGTGCTATTTGACCGTACGAAGACCATCCGGAGACATAGATACAAAATGTATCATACCACAATCCGTCCATCCTCTGCAAACAAGGCAAATCGATTGGCTTCCCGAGGACTGTCAAGCTTTGTCAAGCTCGGCATGCACGGACCCCTGGCGTTGTCCATACACGAAAATTTCTCCGGCCTCATTCTCCATCCACCCCACCGAAGTAAGAAAGTCCGACGTGCACGCCGACCATCTAGAAAGAATCCTAGAAAGACGCTCACGATGCGTGCAGAGGTCATCCGGCAGTCTCTCCAATATTTGCTTAACCCTAGGGATGGCTTCTTCACCATAAGTACCTCCGTGATGGTTTCCCGCGTCGTCCTCAATTTGCGCTCTTGCCCCCGGCTGGCGGGAGAGAATCTCGAGAACCCCACCAGCAAGCGGTCCGGTCGAGAGAATCGGTTCACGCTCCTGTGTCCACAAAAGAAAGAGACGGGCTTAGTTCATCCGCTGCCCTGATATTTCAACTATCTTCCGCGAATCTGGATAAACTGAATGCTCCCTTTCATCCCTGCTAAATAAACAAGGACTAGAGGGAAGTTTTGGCTGATTAAACGGCGTCGCAGCAGTAATTACATGAAAGAACTTGCCCAGATTGAATGTGATAATAGCGGGTCCGGACAATATGTTTTCTTTTTTTGGTCTTATAGCGCACGTTACGCAAACACAAACGGTGGACTCCAACTTGTGTGGTCTCTTCGTTCTCGGACCTATTTTAATATATTTCAAAGCACGTCGATACAGAGAAATTAGGCAAGGAATGGACACATGAGGCCTTTTTGTCTCCTTCAAGCGCCCGCACCACCTGCATGAACAACGAAGAGGCGCCCACACGCCGGCCTGGCTCCCGGAGGGGGCACTCTTGAACGATCTTCCTCCTTGTTAATAGCCTGAGTTCTTGTTCAATTCATTCATACACTTGTCTTAAGATCCGACAATAATCACGATGTTTGTTGTCCCAAAACTGATTTAAACTCTAAGGCGTCTCTCTCGTTTGCAGTATGTTTGAAACGCTGCGCGTCCCTCCAAGATATTTTCTTGCTCTTTTACTTTCTTTTTCTCGTCTTTCTTTTCCTCGTGGAGCCCTTTAATTTCTTTCCTTCCTGTCTGCCATGCCTGTAAGCCTCTTTCTATCAAACCCCTCGTCGCGCTGATCGTTGGCACAGACGATCGCCCAGGCCCTTCCTCCATTGCGCCTCCTCACCGTCAAGGTTATTGCGCAGCCATCTCGCTCTTTGATAGAGCGATGGATGAATACAGCGACCAAAGATCGCTACAAACATCTTTTGGAGCGGATCGAAGACCCAGACCAAGATATAGACTATGAAGACTTTTTGTCGTGTCTCGTGGACGAGCACGGCAACCTACGGCGCCTTTCCCGGCTTGATGATGAACAGTTCCGCTTTGCTTTGGACAAACTATCCGACCGTAAGCAAAGAGATCGAGCGGCGCGTTCTCGGTCTTCTTCTCCGACTTCGAGTACCCGTTCTTCCCTGTGTCCCACACCATCTATAGCCTCGCAACCGAATTCGTTGGAAGACGTGGTAGACACCACCCAGACCAACACGCTATCCGATCTCGTTTCACTTGGCTTGGGGGATCAGGTGACTCTTGACGATGCTGGGTGCCCGGTTCCTGACGGTCATGGCATCTTCTCGAGAGGAAATGGATCATCCAGCCACCTTTTCCCGTCCATTTGCGAAGTCCTTTCAAGCGGCGGGGTAGATGAAGCAGACGAAAGGCAGTATTGTGGAGTACTCGCACCACCAAGTGTCGTTGTTTCCTCCGGCTCTCCGGTACATCATCCCTGCTCAGCGGAAGGAGAGGCAAATGGTGCACAGGAGCCCCGTTCACGCGAAAGCAGCTGCACGCGACCAGTGCGAAGCTGCAACTCGGATCTACTCAGAGATGTCCCTGGCTTATATGACACCCCCGAGGAGCTAGACTCGGACTGCGATTCCGCTGAAAGTTGCTGGTCTTCACTATCTGCCTTGAGCACATCTCGGGAAAGCCTCTCCATGGGTCCAAACGTGCTCGGGGAACCTCGGGAAAGGGGGCACAGGCTCAGACCTATTTTTGTCCATGAAAATGCCGCTTTTTGTTACAAGGGCACCACATGTTCCAGTACTTAGTTGATCATCCAGTCCATGTATTTGCTATCTGACCACAAGTCATCTATATAGTGGCCAGCGCAGCATGTTTAGGAGTAGAGAGCTATCAGATCATCAATATATAATTTATTACCAATTAATGAACAGGATATTTGGGACTCTCGTATGTTACTATTAGGCAAATCCGAGTCAGGGGCCAGACGCGTACCGCGTACTGACCGCGAAAAAGTCACGTGTCTCATGCGTCCAGACCCTAACGCGTTACGAAGGGTGCATCTTCTCTCTATCTCTTACCACCACCAATGCCTGAGGCCTGAAGGCTGACAAGCATTCTCGAGTAAGCAAGACCTCCCTGGTATTGAACTCCTCTGGTTTGCACATAGGAACTAACAGCTCTGGTGCGTTTTATACCCATTTCTTCGGTTACTTCGTTGACGTGCCCTTGTTCTCGTACGAAGATTATCGCCGATGAAACATCTTCTCTCCCTCCGAGTCAGTCGTGAATAGGACACTGTTTTTCTTCTTACGACGATGCTGTCCTCTCTTTGTGGATGCACGCCAAGCATTGTCGCTTCCGGAACTTCGTCACTCGAGGGACTGCACACGCAAGAAGCTTCAACAAGGTGTCAAAGCGAAATTCACCAACGCGCCATGGAAACGTACTGGATTACCTTGTGCCCTTGTTCATGAAGACGTGGAACAAGGTGCTCACTGGAATACCCATGCGCGTCTGTTCGAGTCCGTGGTTACGGGTTGGACACCTTGAGCCGTGCTCGGTGGTCGGTCCTCTTGTCAAGACCCTTCATAAACCTCTCGTGAAGTCGGGTTCTACCAAAAAACCTTGCTCCTGCTCTGGGACTAGTTGTAAACTATCCTCAGAAACCACGAGCCATAATCACCCACCACGATGGTACGTCTTTTGATGTTTCGTCGCAGACACGCCTACTCACGACATGCATTCAAGGTGTATTCCTCTTCCGCCTTGATGACCCTCTTCTGGAACGGCACGCCGTTTCCTCCCTTTTACCATCCTCCTGCGCAAGATGCTTCGGCCTCCACCAGACCACGAAGATTAGAACTATGGGGCGTCGGCGTATGGCCTTTCGACCGAGGCCCACCCAGAAAAATGAAACGCCTGCACCCCACCGAACGCGGGAATGCCAGCCTTCCACCACACACCCGCCCCGTCAGCGCCTGTTGGGTAAAACCATTCCGCTTCCATACGTCGAGGACACCAGGTATCCGACGGATATAGAGCCTGTTTTTGACGACTGTAATGTTGCCGGTCCTTCGACTTTTGTAGGATCCTTCGACTCGGATACCGCCATGCCTGCTGCACCGTCTTTCTTTGATACGCAGGTCGACAATGTAGCGCCTGTTCGACTGCTTGGCAAGACTATTCCGCTTCCAGATGTTGAGGATGAGACCTTCCCGATAGGTGTCGTTCCGAATGCCACGAGCTCGTCCGCCCTGGGTCTCGTTATTCCTCCTCCAGGACAAGAATTCCACGCCCCGAAGTCGAGAGGCAGTGCGAGAAGGCAGTCAGCTCCGCAGAACAGTTCCGGTGCGTCTACGATGTCGCCATCGTTGCCCACGTTTGCTTACTCTTTCACAGTTTGTTGTCCACTTCCGACCGAAATCCTCCAGATCTGCGATTCTCTTCCACACCGACTCGGCTGCTCGTGGCGCGACCTCGAGCTGGGCTACCGATGGTCCAACCAGACCACGCTCTCTCTCCTCTGCCCTCTCCTCGTCCACCAGGCCCGTCGGCTTCTCCTGCACGGCAAATCCACCCTCGTCGACGTCACGTTTGGGCAGCTGTATGAAGACCCCGCTCAACCCCGCCCCATTCTACGAGGGCCCGGTGCAATCAGGCTCGACAATCTCGAGTCGCTGTTCATTACGTCTTCGGCGAATTTGGCGTTTCTGTTCGATAAGAAGGCAATGGCAATGCCCAAGTTGAAGCGCTTTTCTTTGACGGCTAATCGTGGCTCGTGTTCGGTCTCGAGTCCTGTTGTGCTCGATCATACGCTCGACGTACCTTGGGGCAACCTTGAGAGCCTGTCTCTCATGAACGAGTCACCGTCTTCATGCAATGTTCTGCTCATCCTTTCCAACTGTGATCGCCTGCGACAGTTCTCCTGGACCGGTGATTTGGAGCGCTTTGCGGTGTCAGGGCGTCTTTCAGCATCGAAACTCCTACAGCTGGAAGACCTGACCATCAACTCCTCTTCTGAGGGATGTAATGCCCTCGTCAATTACTTCCCTAAGGAGATCATACGAAATATCAAGAAGGGCTTCTTCACCTCGCTTCCTTCAGCATTCACAAGCAACTTGACCAGTTCCGAGTTGACGCACCTCGCCATACACGATGCCATTCCGCTACAAATTTTATTCGCCCTCCTAGGCGGGCTGAGATATCTCAAACACGGGAAATTCGCAGTAAATTGCCTTTCATCTCTGTTATTCCAAGCCCGCGGTGAAGTCCGATGCAGAAACCTCAAAAGTTTGCAACTCTCAATCTCTGATACTTTGGCACCGCTTTGGATCCGTCTAGCCTCCCCTTCCATCGAGTCCCTTAAACTCTCCACACGCAATCCCCACGTTGACCTTGTTACAGACGTTCTGCCCTTCCTGTCGCGTTTCCACAACAGTTCAATAACCCACACACACATTTCCCACCTGCATACTTGGAACTTCCAACACTGACCTTTTCTTCCTCCTTGCCTACTATGATTTTGATGACTAGTTACGAACATTTAGTATGACGCTAATTTGCCCGTGCTCTAAAGATGTACCAAAATACCAAAATGAGATGAGACTCAGATTCTTTTCTTCAGGAATTTGAAACCAAGCATGCGTTGTGTGACGTTGTCCAACAGTGTCCATTGGGCGGGCCTTTTTGGGGAAATAAATTCCCAGGGATGGACTCTGAGACGACTCGTTCCCATCCTATTGTTCCTCCCAACTTGTTTCCTGTCGTACACTCAGCTTCTGACTCCTCGGGTTAATTGTTACACTTGCATGATACCGGGAGTCGTGGCGCCTAATTGTTGGCAAGATCTTCGCTTGTCGCACACATCGAACCTCCGATTACAGTTGGAGGCGACACTTTTGTTCCACCTGCCAGACGGCGAACGGCTTCCTATGGCATAGGTAACCATGCAGCGCTAACAATTGAGGGGATGCTTTAAGGCTGGTCATCTGGCTGCACAAGCGACACCGCTCCTCCTCTCTTCGCAGTGATTCGACGCCATGGGCACCTACTCCAAAGAGGTTTTCATGCTCATTCTCTGACATGCATATTTTACTAACAAAATTATCTGTAGAATGTAGCATCTCCAGTTTCTTCTCTACCGGTGGAGATTCTAATCCTCATCTTCGACATTTACCTCAGCAGGGGCCCGGTGTTTGAAGACGAGTTCCATGGCTACTATGACGGATACCTCAACAGTCGCTGTAGCCCGCTCATTTTAATGCAGGTCTGCAGTCACTGGCGGGCGATAGCGTTGGCCACCCCTTCGCTTTGGACGTTCATATGCCCTTCTTACAACCCCATTCGTTACATCCGTCACTGGCTCGCCATCTGCCCGAAATATCCCCTCGACCTACAACTAGCCAATCGTGCGATCGAAGACGTTCCACGGGGCTATGTCTATGCCGTCTTCAACCTGTTCACCAAGGAAGCACACCGCTGGCGGTCACTGTCTATCGACTTCGACCACGACGTTGCCGAAGGATTCGTCAAGCTTTTGCAGTCCGACCGCACCGTTCCTTTGTTACTCGAAGATTTGAAGATCGAGGCTTTTCAACTTGACCATATGGTTCCCGTTTCCACATTTCATGCCATAGCCGCCCTTCTATCGCGTCTGAAAGCTCTTCGACGCCTGATTTGGGTTGACTCGCGTGGCGAGGGCCCTCTTCACGGAATTCCGTGGAGCCAGCTGAAGACGGTGACCATCAAGCTTCCATCATCCTTGGAGGATATCTTCTCCTACCTTTCTCAATGCACCTCCGCCACCCAGGTCGAATTTTGCACCGAAACTCCGCTCCAACCTCAGAAGACTCGCTTGCCATCCCATCGCCTTCCACCCCTCACTCTTCCACATCTCACCTCCATCAGACTCTCGCGAGGGTGTGATCCAATGTGGCTCTTGCAACACTTCACCATGCCGTCCCTTCAACACTTGGAGATCGGGGTCCTTCGTCGTAATCAACCGTTCCTGGAGGAATTCGTGAAACGCTCTCCCCACCTTCACACCTTGATTGTGGATGAGAGATATCATGAGGACTACGATCTCTACGTGGATCAGGTCCCTGTTTCTGATCACGAAATCATCGCCTACCTCACCAACCCCTCCTTGCGCGCCATTCCTCGCGTCGGAATTGACCTAACGTACGCGAAGGAGAGGACCCTTGCCTTGATTCAACAGCGATTAGATGCACACCGACCTCTTCCACCGTTGCTGTGCTGGAGGCCGTCGCTATATCAAAGGTTAGTCGGATGGTGGGATAAGTTAGATCCCACGTTCGATGCGCTGTTATTCTCTTATAAAGAAGGTTCCGTCGAATTCTCTCCGGAGTATGAGTTCGACGATTCAGACTGTCTTTCCTAAATTCCCACATCAACCCCAGACTTGATAATTATGTTACTTTTCTCCTCTATTCACATCTCCTACATTTATATCCCCTCTCCCAAGCCTTTATACCCACCAGCACGGTCCTTGTAATTTATTCTGGCCTCGATTCTGATCTTATGTTCCTCGACGATTATAATTCCCGGAGGTTTGCAGTGCGCTCTTTATATATTTACGCTTTGGTCCTAGTCCCTAAATCTCTCGTTATACCCTTCCCATTTCAACAGTTCATTGTACTGTTCGGAAACCTGACTTCACTTCTCAATCATGCTGCCCAGTCGTTTAGGAAAGCGTCTCTACTCGTAGATTGTTGCTTTCGACTATCATAGGTGATAAGCGGATAATTGACAGCAGTGACAAGCCTATCGACTGATCGAGGATGTGTGGCGTGCGTGATCGCGATTACCCAGTTTGGCACCTGATCGAATTCAGTCCTCACCACAAGACAGTAACGTCTGATTACAACCAAAGTTAACATGGTGAACCACTTCTGCTAGAGCCTGTCGCTGGTATCGTGGTGCTATCGGCCTGCTTTTCAGATTATTCCCGCTCAAAGTTGACTTATAATAGATATTGAGCATTGTCTGATTGAAGACCGCCGTCCCACAGACAAACCAATGGGGCTTAAAAAAAAAAAACGAAAGTTTCTAATAATAACTTGGACGTCATTCTTATTAAACATTTGGAAGGCATCTCCTCTCCCGGTCCATTCACCGGCCTAGAAGTATCCCCGCAATTCCGTGGCAGAATCCGTCGCCGACGTCATATGTCGACCCGTCGTGCTTCTCTGTCGTTCTAGGTCAGACAAACCGTGCCTAAAACAATGAAAAAGCAATGCTCGTAGCGACGAGCCAATCGAGCAGGTTGGCTTGACTGCCTGTCGATCTAGGTTCGGAGATGAACAGTTCGCGGCTCGTTCGCCTTGGTCTTCCTCAAGTTCGCGGAATTCCTGACACGCGCCACTCCGAGGGCGAGGAGAATCGAGCCGGCTTATCTGGAGAGCCTGTGGGAACAGTCATGCAGACCGACAAGCAAACTGGGATATTTACGACCCCAACCTCGAAAGCCGCCTATGGTATAGACTCCGGCGCAAAGCTGTGCTGCGGTCGGTGTCCATTGCCAGCGTATCTTCGATCGAGTCGGGCTCGCTTGGGAATTTCTCGCTCGTTCGGCGGTAAGAGGTCTGGTATGGGTCCGAATATTTCGCAGTGGCGTCGGATGGTGAGCTTCAGTGCAGGAAATGGAGAAACAAAGACAGGAGGACCTGGGTGTGTTTTAGCGACTTGTTCAAGCTGGAATTCATATATGGCGTGCCGTACGCTGGGTGCCCTGTTGAGAAGCATGAGTGCCCATGAGCCCTGACGCGCTGAAAACAGGGTCCTGCTAGTGACAGGGAGGGACGATGTCTCGTCCGAAGTTGGCCTCCCGAACACAATACAGTGTGGCGGAATACTGCGTCATTCCTTGCAGAACACCATAGCCATAAACGACGTCTTGTCGATCTAAAGCCAACGCAGGTCATATCGAAGCGAATCATGGAATGAGATCCATTGAAGAACCCTGCATGTTCCAATTTGATACTGAGCTGAGTAGGGAGATCGAGGCGTCCGAACCAGCGGGAGAAACTGGACTAGGGATACTCAACAACTTCGAAGGCGGTACGCATGTAAATTCAATATGGACGGCGAGTCAAGTGGAATACTTACGTTGACCCAGACCGAGCCGCTGATATTGCTGAGATAACATCTCGTGCAGTTCAGCTCAGCTCGAGGAACATTCAACCTTAACAATTCAGCACCCCTTGAGGAGAGCCTCCGAAGAATTTCTAGAGAGAAGAGTTAGAGTTTAAGATTTATGGAGGAGTCGACCACCGAATACGAGCCACGACAGAGTCCGAGCCGACACCGACACCGACGGAGCACTGATACTTCGTGGTGTTGTCGGAAAGAAGACAAGCGCTCAGGGGCCTCCAGAAGTGGGATTGCAGAGCGGCAGTTGTTCTAGAAAGAAAGAAAATACACATTTCTGAACGAAGCCCAAGACCAAAGGCGCGAGATATTCACCCCGAGTGCATGAAGAGAGATGGTGCTTGACCGTTCTGTGACTTTTTGGGAGAAGTCGAAGAAATAAGATGTTCATTTAGTCTAGACGCCTCTTCAAAGCTTCATTGGTTATAAGCACGCTTGAATTCCGTGGCCAGAGAGGAACGCCAGAACGGCGAAGGAAAAGATGCTCAAGTCTATATTTGTTATCTTATCTTATCGTGTTAGGTTCAACCGTCTGACGTGGAAATGCTGACGACATATCCCATGTTGAACGTTAACAACGACCACCATCTCCTTATGCCGTTTAACTACCAGGTTCGCCATCTTTGTATGTCTTGAAGCCGGAATTCAGAAGCTGCAACGAATTACCAGCATTCATTTGAATTCTGTGGGTCCTTTTGTTCTGCTCCATCACCGTTGTTCTCAACGCCTGTCGTTAATTGTAGTATCTGGGGCTGTCTTGTTGAAGAATAAGAAGATGGACACGGCCCATGTTGCATAGCCTCTGGATCCGTTACTGGAACCCCGCAACTCGAGGACAAAACGCTAGAACCATGGAAACTTCCGATAATAGGATGCCTCGATGCGACCTCGAACGCCGACAGGGACAACTAACGTCAATGGTGCTATTGTTCCAGGGTTGGCTTGCTATATAGGCGCGGAGAAGGCGAGGATTAGACCCATCATCCACGGGTTGGATTGCTGTGCGTTTGTTCGTCATCCCGTTTCTTTACCCCACGCTGTTCCCGTACGCTAGTCGTCGGTCAATCTGTGAGTTGGTCAACGATGCAATCATAGGTCCAGCTGACGAGAGTTTGCAGAATTATCTTTATATCGCGCCCTTGCGTCTATGCTCCGCAAAGCTTCTCAACGGTTGCTCTCAAAATGGAGGAAGAATGATTCAAAGGACCGACATGAACAAGATTCAGAACAAGCTTCACGAATTAATGACGCGCATGACTCAGACGACCGCACACCTCTTCTTTTCGACACTTCCGCTACCCTTGTGACAGAGAACTTGAAGAAAGAGGACAATACCCCACTTTGGCGTCCCCCCCCACCACCACCGCCACCACCTCCGCGTATCTGCGACACACCTTCCCCCAAACGCAAGTCAAACTCTGTCTGGCCTACCCAGCGCTCAGTACTTCCGACTGTATCTTCTCAAGCCAAGAGCTCGCAACCATGCTCTCTGTACTCCATTCCAAATATCACTGGCGACCTTCCTTCACCTCCCCTACATGATAGCCAGTCGACCTCTCCTTCTCTCGTTGAAAATCGGAATCTCCTCTGGAGACGAAGTGGAGAGTACAGCGAGCTCTTTATCCCAATCCTCAAGATGGTCAAGGAACGAGATGAGACGGAGGATGGGCAGGTGGTCGACGACATGCCGCCACCAGCCATTTTCTATGCAGCTGCAATGCGTGCGCAGCCCCTCCACGCGCTCGTGGAGGAGGAGGAAGAAGAGAGCGGAGATTTCGGCGAGATCTTCGATGAGAAGACTCGCCTACTCGATTTCTTCCCCATCCCTCCCTCGTTTACACCGCTTGGATCACCGTCCTCTGTCTCTCGGTTCTCCCTGCGCCCCTTATCCGACTCATGGGCACGAATCCCTGAGGTCCGGGCCTCAGGATCGGCCGACTCACATCCCTCCTCGCCATCGTCCATCTTCACGACCCTTTCTCTCGACCCGTTCGAGGACCCCAAGGGCGACTGTTCGTCTTTGGACTCGGGCTGTGGCACGCCTGATATGACGGATGTCTCGTCGGTCTCTGACGAGAGCTTCGGGGTGCTTAGACGATCCCAGCCGACGGGGCACAAGGCCCTTTACAAACGCGCCTCAGTGGGCAAGACAAGGGCCTAATCTTGACTTGAGCTTCACTGAGGCCAGAACTATGTACGCTTCTCATGGAGCTTTCTCATAGGATTTTGCCGTGTGGATATCATGCTCGGAATGTAGTTGCAGTTCGTGTAATACATACGTCAGTGTATTGCTAGTCTATGTACCATTGTATATTAGATATTAACGTTCTACGCAAATGTGTATTTTATATTTCGTTCCAGTTGGCCTGTGTATCGGTGCTCGGGCTACTTATCAAGTGGAACTTGGAATCTGCGAAGCCATGATGCCACTGCCAGAACGCGACGCGACGCAACCTTCCATCACCTGATCCCGCCAGTGCCAAGTGCACTATTTCGCACTCTTCCTCTTACCTTCACCGTCCTCCAACGACGACAACCTGGAGCGACACTGGATGGTTCAAGACGACTACTGGTAGTGGCAGTCGTTGTTCGGCAAGGTGCTCTTCGAGGTCTGTCCTTGTTTCTTTTGTGGTCGCATCGTGAAAAAGTGACATCCCTCACAACCTCTAGGGAGCTACTCGGTCGTTCAATAAGACCAAGGCTCTGTCTATCTTACATTGATCACTGCCGTCTCGACTATGTCGACGTCGTATCCTCGTGTTCTCGTAAACGTGAAGGCAGGGAACAAGGCGCCGGTCGTGCAGTCTCGCGACCTTCATGCCAGCTCGTTGAACGCCATGATTACAGGCGTGGGTATGGTTTACTTTGCCTTCATACTTTCGATATATTCACTGTGAAGTCTTGTTCTAGGCAGGCTTTTAAATGCGTACCTTCCCGAGATGATTCCTTCAGAGGACTTTACCGCCCTGTTCGGATCCGCTCCAGCTCACTCAAGGCACCATGGTGCGTCGTACGAACTCCAGGCTGTTTTGCTTCAGCTAACTCTACCCAAGGTGTACCCCTTCACAAGAATACGAGAACTTATACGGAACCTCCCCACTATTCTACCCTTTCTCCGTCGCTCTGACCAATACCCTTCCCACTCCACGACGCGAAGAAAACGTGCAAAGGGATTGAAGAGACTGCGACTATAAGTCATTAAAAAGGAATGGAACGGCTTCAGTTCGCTTCGCCGACACGCAGGAACACGTTGGAATCCTGATTTCAGAGACGACCGTTGTGGCTTCTGATGGCCCTTTAGACGGGCATGAACTACAGGACGACAGGGTTATGCTTGCACCCATAGACGAACCGGAGCAATATGAAACTGAGAGGAACTCAATTCTGATTGCCTCAGCTACATCGACTCTAATGCTTGTTGGAGAGTCACTCTCTGGTGACGATTCGCCTCCGAATTACGAGCCTCGGCCAAGAGACGGAGAAACTTGCCTCATCGCACCTGTTTTCCACTTTTGGCCTGCTCGAAGACCCATCCACTGTACATCCTAGCGAGTCGACAGGTGACCAGCCCCCACGGAACAGGCTCCTTAGCAGAACGATTTCGCTTCCAGTCGCCGATGATGATGTTCTTGATATGTCTGATCATCCTCCTACGACAGAAGACGCGGGCATCCCTGGACCTTCAGATCCACAGAGCTTGGGAGATTCACATTCGGAAGCCATCAATATATCCTCTTCTTCGCCCTTACCTGAAGGATCGGACACTGTTGGCAACGAACCTGGATCAGAGTCCTCTTTCGTACCACCCTCCTGCGGTGAGACTCCCGCCTCACAGCCAATACCGACAGTATTTCAAGGCCCTTTGGGTGGATGCGCCACATCGGAAGACGAAGCTTCTCGAACAAGTATTGACGAGGATTTTTATTTAGTTTTGTATTGCGCAGGGCACTCGTATTTGACGGCGGAACATTTCTCCTTACACTCTGGCGCACCCGGGGATACATTTGCTCCGCGGAGAGGCTACCGTGAGTCGTAGGAACGCCACATGCGGCCCACGTTGACAATATCTTTACAGGTTGTTTGATCTCCTCATCCGCGATGGTACCCTGTACTATCTGGTCATTTTTCTGGCCAATCTCGCAAGCTTATTCCTGTACTTCGTAAGCCGAAGTTCTTTGCATGAGTACATGAATACTCCAATCCGTCTAATAGTCGCCACCCTCACAGTTTGTTCCCAATAATTTTGGGTCAGGCGCCATGCTCCTGGGGGCAGTCCTGACCTCCGTGAGGGTTTCCCGTATTGTCCTCAATTTGCGCGCTGGTGCCTCGCCGAGTAGATCCTATATGGAGAGTTCCAGAGCTCCACCGACTTCTATAAACAAGCGGTCCGCTATCATCTTTCGTGCGATCGAGTCCAAGGTGATGGGAAATTTGGAAGAGGGTGTGGATTCGGAAGAGTCAAGAGAATCAGTTAACATTCCTGTGTCTACGAGAGAGAGAGACAGCTTCGTTCATGCACGACGCTAGCATCCTTTCTAATCTTTTCCTTACCACTGAGGCGGTCGTTTCTGATAGGGACCTAGTACCGGTTAATACACTTCCTTCCTTCCTTCCAGGACCACAAGCTCACTCAACATTCTTTCAACCATTTTCATTTCTCATTTCCTATGGCTCTCTCTCCCGTTGATCGTAATCCTTGTCTGGATCTCTCTGTTTTTTTTTTGTTGCTCTCTACTCGTCTTTTGAATGTGAGAACGTACGAGGTGCGAACATAAAAGCACCTGACGTTCTCATGTTTCTCCCTCCTGTCCATCATGCCCCCTACTGACCCTCCGCCCGCCATCGAGACTAACCTCCCCGCTCCAAGCACAAAATGGCCCGTCTTCTCCATCTCGACGCACATCGTCATCGACGCGCGGCCATCAGCCGTCTGGAACGCGCTGCTCGACTTTCCGGCATACAGTGCTTGGAACCCGTTCGTCAGGTGCGTTCCTTTTGTACTGTCTTGGTGGGGTGCAGAATTGATTGCTTAGCACGAGATGGTATCGACTTTGAAGCTCGCAGGTCGTCACCACCAACGACGGGAAGTGGATCCCGTTGGATGACCAAACGCCGAAGGAAGGCCTGGGGCTCGTTATGCATGTGCATATCCCGCCTCTCCCATCGCCTTTGGGATTCACGAATCAGAACGCGGAGGAGAATGGGAAGAAAATCCTGAAGCACCAGATGTCCTACGAGACGATCACGGCGGTTGACGAGGCGCACCTTCGCGTGGCGTGGAAGCAGGCGTTCCTTCCGAAGTGGTTGTTGGACGCGGAGAGGTGGCAGGCGTTGACCGTGGTGCCTGCTATCTCCGAGCCTGACGCAGCAGCTGGTGGAGAAGCTGGAACAGGTGAAGAACTAGGGCAACAGGATGGGCAGAGTAGGACGTACCGAGGCGAACGCACGTACTACGAGACACGCGCGGTGTTTAGTGGGCCGCTAGCGTACGTCGTGAGGATGCTGTACGCGAAGGGTTTGCAGGAGGGTTTCGAAGCGCACGCGCGGGCGTTGAAGGGGTTGGTCGAGGCGAGCGAGAGGCGAGCGGGCGGAAAGGCGTAGGGGCTAGGACCAGCAGCCGCCCACTCGATGTTCATCTGGGCAACCTCGAAACGTCTCTCGATCTCAGCTGGATCCTATGGTCCCCTCGTCGTCTGCTCTTCAAAACCCTCGGTCGAAGAGTCTTCAAGTTGACGGGACCTTCCATACAGTCCACGAACGTGACGCGAATACCGACACCAGGAAACAAATGGGCAATACCAAAGACTTGTTGAACGCATCGTATAACCCCGAAATTCACGAATGCATATTCCTTTCCCCAGTCCAACCCCGTCCCTCCTTATTTCCTCGTACGACTCGTTGTCGAAGAAGCTCGTGCCTACTCCCTCGTTGAATATGTACCCCTTCTGTCATCTTTCGATCGCTCAGTTGAGGACCTTCAAACCAAATCTTCAAGTTCTCCTCGAGGACGTTTTTTCGTTGCTTTGCACGTCCGCCACGAGAGTGGATCCGACTCGAAATTGAGATAAAACTCGGGCCTCCTACTCTAGTTTGAGAAGACCCCTTCTCCAAGTCTCAGCTTTGCGAGGCTTCTACTTACCATGTAACACTCAAGCCTTCGTAGGACATCCCGCTGGTCGTGTAAGTTTGTATTTCGATTCCTCGGAAATAAAAGATTATTAACCGTTTACTCAGGGGTACTGTGTGGCGCACGTCATCCTGACTACCGAGTATGGTACTAGACGCAGAATTGGGATACGATCCTGAGCCCTCGCACAAAAAATGAATTCTGGGTCCCGGCGAATTGCAATCATCTGGTTATCATAGCGATATAAATCTCTAGGACCCAAGGAACCGGCCGACCGATGCTCACCCATGTTGATGAATGGAAATTTATGAGAACACTCAAAGGGCGAGCGTATAACTAATACAAGAATGACTAAGGTCCCACATGAGAGCGTGACACTGCATAAAAAAGCCCCCCACATGTGCGGGCTTTTGGGGCTGTCACCTCCCCAAAGCTCGTAGACGCGTGTACGCTCGCCTGCGAGCAAACGACAACACCAGCGCCTATCAGGCCGTCCAACGGACGCCATCCTGAATACTATAGAACCGTGCAGAAGGGCCGAAATGAGAATGAATGAAGAAAAAATTCTCACCATCGGCCGGGAAGGCGCTCGCGGCGATTATCAGCGGAGTCGAAGTGAATATAGAGGACGACAACAAGAACTCGCGACGGACGGTAGCTGGAGAGCCAAGAAAGGGAGGTAAGAAGGGGTAGTTCCGCAGTGATATCAACGCGATAAGCAATGAAAAAGGTATATATCGGTCTACAGAGGAAGGAGGATGGTACAAGTTGAGGAAAGAGATGCAAACACGTCCCAAAGTTTCCAAGCACTCTTTATATACATAGCACCGGGCATTGCCGAGCACTCGTTATTCTGGGATGCTATTTTTAGACCACTCTTTCGCGCTGTAAGATCTCTTGTGGATAGCACATTCCAGAATCTCTAGCTTTAACTCTAGTCAAATACGACGCTAGCTTGACCTCTCGAGTCAAGATCTCATACCTGGCTAGACGCGCATCACATCACGGATGGGTCACGTGGCATCTGCTAATTCAAACAATCACGGCGGATTTTCATGCCACTGTCGGTGTCGCTGTCAGGACTCAGTTGGCACCATGCCAGACAGCCTTCTTCCTCCGTTGACGTGTCATTATTCTCTCAGATCATCGGGATGAACCACATTCTCTACTTTCGAGTCGGTCATTACCGGGACAACCAGTATTCAATATTGTCTTCAAGTTGGGATATGGGCGTGACACAAACACGCATATCGTGTTCCTCCTAGTAGAACTCACCACAGACTGGAAAATACGGCCGTCGACTGACATCGAATCCTTGATTCCTGATTCCCGACTCGGAGATGACTCGGAGGTGGATGTTCAACAACCTCCCACACAAGGTCTGGTCCATGAATCGATGGCTTTTTTTATCTCTCTCGCTTTTTTGCGATCTTATCAAGGCCTCTTGGCATCAAGTTCTGCTTGATGCATTCGACGCGCTCGCGATCCATAGATTGCGCCCTCCCGAAATAAAGACTGCACGGGCGGGGGAGACAAACCTCGTTTCATCGGCTATCTTCTATGCTATGAATTCTCCTGTTGCACCTACTCCTGGAGTACCCTATAGTGGCTCTAAGAGGACAACCCGTGCTAAGTTCTCTTTTTTATCCGTACTGGCTGTGAGTGCTTCTCCCGTATGATCTCACGGGGTTACATCTTGGCTGTTGGACACGCTCTAGAATGAAACAGGCGGCGAGATCGGCGAGAAGTAGAGACTCCACAGATAACTCCAACTTATAAGGCATCCGCCAAATAGCTATAAAGTATCGCGCAGTCTGCGCATGCGCATGCTCACATCTCGCTCGTGTCGCCGTCATGTCCTTCCTCACAGATCTACAACATCCTGACACCGACCTCTTGGTGGGACTGGCCAGCGCACTGTGAGCAGTCGTCTCTAGGCAGAATCAGCGTCGCGCCTCACCGAAATCGCAGTCGAGTTTTCAAGTGCGTCGAATTTGCGGTTCTCTCCGTTCTGCTCTATGACCATGGTAGGTGCCGTTTCATCTGATACAGCCATACCGGTTGACGACGTGCTGCAGCCTTGACCTTTCATCTTGAGGTTTGGAAATGCCTGTCCTCTAACCGCATACAGAGCCAGGAATATCATCTAACGAGTGCTTAGGTGGAACGCATCTGGCGGAAGCCGCTATCGGGAGTGTCCATTTTGTTTCTCCTCAACAGATACATTCAACCCATCCGCACCATCATCGCCATCATAAGTATACTCTTTCGTGGTCCTGCGTCGACTTTGATGCTGATCCTGAGGCCTATGCAGCGTATCATGTTCCTCATTGGAATGCAGACACGTGAGTGATCTATGGGCGTCTTCCCGATTTCGCAGCTTAAAAACCGTCTGGTCTGTTATGTAGGTGCTTACATTTTGCTAAATTTGTCGGATACTCGCGCATTATAACCACCGCTAGTGAGTGTGCCCATTCTAAACAGCGAAAAATGCTAACTGCTTTCCTGCTGCCTTCGTGCTCTAGTATGTGGCTGTAAGTAGTGGCAAACGATGAAATTGTCAATCCTCCAAGTTGATTTTTGTCCTATGGGAAGTTCTGGTGATCCTCCGCGTCTATGCTCTGTACTACCGATCCAATATCGTCCTCATTGTGCTGTCGGTGGTCTGTGCAGCGTACTTAATTGTATCCCCGATCTCAATAAGCCAGCTGGGAAGTGAGTCTTTACCGTACACCACCTCTCATGATACGAGAACAATCGTTTATCTGCCCTTTGCACAGCCTTGCAACAGTCACCCTTCGAGGAAATCTCTGTCGGTACGCCATTATTTTCGTAGGTCGGTCATCATTTGCTGAAGTCATTCAGGCTGCCGTTTGACGGTCCCGACTAAATGGTTTGGTATGCCTCGATTTCCGGTCTCTGAAATCCACGAACAATTATTTACAGAAGATCTTATTTAGTTTCGAATTGCGTAGGGGCACTCGTCTTTGATGGCGGGATATTTCTCCTCACACTCTGGCGCACCCGAGACTACATTCGCGCGGCGGACAGACCACCGTGAGTCATACGAAAGCGCATGCGGTCAGCACTGACAATACTTTTATCAGGCTGTTTGACCTCCTCATCCGTGACGGTACACTGTACTACCTGGTCATTTTTCTGGCCAATCTCGTGAGCATATTCCTGTACTTCGTGAGTTCATGATCCTTCGAATGGGTACCCCGCGTTCCGCCTGACAGTCCTCATCCTCGCAGTTTGTCCCAAACAATCTTGAATCTAGCGCAATGCTGCTAGGGGTGGTCCTGACTTCCGTGATGGTTTCCCGAATTGTCCTGAATCTACGCGCCGGGGCACCACCGACTAGATCCTATATGGAGGATTCACCGACTTACACTAACAAGCGGTCTGCTATCATCTTCCGTGCGATCGAGTCGAAGATAATGGGGAACATGGAAGAGGATGTGGATTCCGAGGAGTCAAGAGAATCAGATCCCAGTGCGTCCGCGAAACAAAGAGACAGCTTCATTCGATCACAACCATAGCATTTCAACTATTTCCAAATTCCAACTTTTGCACGATTTTGGTTGGATTCGGACCAGGATACATTTTAGGCTGTGTAAACCCACGCTACTGACATGGTGAGATTTTAAACTAGTGGGTCGTACTTCATGTTTTCAATGCCGCTGTTCGCCAACTTGCAACTTAGCTTGTACTTCGCGATGGGAGTCTCGTTCCCCACCTTCAAGCTCCAACGTTCTTCCACTAACAGTATCAGCCCCATGAACGATGATATACATGTCTTCCTGTTTTTGGCGGCCGCCACTTCTCGAAGGCTCTTGTACCTCAAGTAGCGCGGAATTCGCGAGCTATGTTGTGGAGCCGGCCCGGTGTCGCGAGAACAGTATCACGTGCATCTTATATAAGCCAATCTATTCTCGGACCCAAGTCCACGACTGTCCTCCCTTTGACTCTTTCCTCTCATTCAGAATGCATCCTCTACTATGTTTCATATTATTCAAACATGGACAATGCTTCAAAGCAATGGGTGATCTTTGAGATTGCCCATCATAGGGCTTTGATTCGCCAGGCTAAAGTTGGTACGTGTTGTCCGCGTGTTGTACTTGCGAATTTCCTTGTTGAGACCATGATTGTTCTCAAAGATCTTCACGAAGACACGGCGTCTTGCTACAAGAGTCCCGCCATAAGGCACTGTGTTCATCTATGCATGCGTTATGGGAAGCTTTGTCTCGTTGGTGAATGTGTCACTCTGCGAAATCTACGCTCAACAGCGTTTGGGGAGGTGCCAAAACGAAACTCTACAACTCGCGCCATGGAAACACATTTACACGATCACCCTGTGGCCTTGTCTACTCAACGCGTGGAACAAGGCTTCAGCTTGAATTATTGAAAGAATTTACGTCCATTTGTTGAAGCCCGTGGTTACAGACGTGGACACCTTGTGCGTAGCCGTGCTCCTCTTGTTCGGGCCTTCTATAAAGCATCTACCAAGAGCCCAACTCATTTAGTACCCTCTTCCCAAACATCAAGCTTCTACTCAAAGCATCAGTGACTCAAGATCCCTAGACAAGATGGTACGCCTTCCAGTATTTTGTTGGGAGAAGGCCCTGCTAACGGCAACCAAGCCCAAGCTCATCGAAATCCGCGACCTGGTCAAGACCGGCCTACGTGGACTTTCCTTCCGTCGTCGAGAGTCTTCACCCTCCCACAGGCAACGACGGCTGGGATTCAGGAAGCTGTTTGGATCGAGGACCTCCCAGAGGAATGAAGCCCTTTACGACGACGACGGTGGTGTCTCCGGAGTGCCACGGGGGGATGATATCCCAACTCTGAGTATCGATGTCGAGACCGATGAAGAGTCGCTCGTTGGCACCTTTGGGCTCGAGGCCATCAGCCCGTCAAATGTGATGGTTTATGCAGGCGATATCGGAGGGCCCGAGTCTTCTTTCTCATCGCGCCCTGGAGGGTTGTTGGGTTACCCTATCCCGCTTCCGCATGTCGACGATGAAAGATTCCCCATCGACATCGAGTCAGTTTGCGGCGACAGTAACCACGCTGGTGCTTCAACCTTTGACGGGTCCTTCGACGGAGAGCGCGTTGTACCTGCTGGGTCGACTTTGTTCGATACCCATGTTGTCTCTCCAGTTCCTGTTCGATCGTCGGGATGGACTATCCCTCTTCCGGATGTCGATGACGAACCCTACGCTTCAAGTCATGAGAATCGACAATACATTCGGACAGACATCGTTCATGGTAACGCTGACATCTCTGACCCTTTGAGACTGCGGGTCAATGACCCAGCGATCTCCTCAGGGGATGCGTCTTTGCCCATCTCGTCTCTGGTGGAAGATGGATCCCATGGCTTGGACCCGGGTGACGATCCTAGGGAACAATGGACTTCACCGAATGATCCCAGTAAGTCTGCAATGCCTATCGTATCTACCGTTTATTTACTGTTCGACAGGCTTTTGGCCCCTTCCGACCGAAATACTCCAAATCTGCGATACTCGTCCACATATTTCCGGCTGCCCGTGGCGTGATCTCGAGCTGGGCAACCGATGGTCGAACCAGACCACGCTCTCTCTCCTCTGCCCTCTCCTCGTCCAACAAGCCCGCCGACTCCTCCTTCATGGAAAATCCACCCTTGTCGACGTTACATTTGGCCAACTGTACGAGGATCCAGCACAACTACCGCCCATCCGGCGGGGGGCTTCCTTGATAAAGCTTGACCATCTCGAATCGCTGTCGATCACGTCTTCCACACATTTAGGCTTTCTCTTTGACAAGACGGTAGTACGATTACCGAAGCTGAAGCGCCTCTCTCTGACATCCCATCGCGGTCGTTCTGGTTTGAGCGCACCTGCGGTGCTCGACCATGCTCTCGACGTCCCTTGGGGCAACCTCAAGCGCCTGTCGCTTGCCAATGAATCATCCTCTCCCTGCGATATCCTGCTCATCCTTTCCAAGTGCGACAACTTGCGACAGTTCTGCTGGTCCGATGACATGGAGCACTTCCCGGCCTCAGGACGTCTTCCCGCGTCGAAGCTTTTCCACCTCGAAGAATTGAACATAAGTTCTTCTTCCGAGGGATGCGATGCTCTCATGAATTGCTTCCCCAAAGAAACTGTGCTGAACCTTAGGAAGGGGTCTTTCACCTCCCTTCCGTTGACACTCCAGCAATCGGGCGACCTGGCTCAATCCCAGCTGACCCATATCGCCGTGCAAGACGCTATTCCTCTGGAAAATCTTCTTGTCATCCTCAAGGGACTGAAAAGCCTACAGGATGGAAAGTTCGCGATCAGCGATCTTCAGTCCCTCAATGTCGCGAGTTCGTATTCGCACCTCCAATGCAGGAGTCTCCGCAGCTTGGAGTTGTCGACCACCAGAAGCTTACGGCCACTTTGGAGTCGCATCGTCAGTCGGGACATCAGCACCATTGTTCTCTCTACCCGGAATCATCACCTCAACCTCGCGGAAGACATTCAACCATTTTTGTTGTATTGCGATAAGGCCTATAACTCGACCCACACACCTGATTATTGGACGTACACCTGGAATTTCTTGTCCTAACTTGTAATTCACGAATCGTTCACGTCTGACATTCATACAACCTATGTATTCTAATGATCTCATACATGCCTATTCCTCTACTCCTAAGGAATTTGTTACATATGACGGTCCGTTCTGGACAAAAATACACGATTGAAGTTTTTTTTATGAGAAACCCTAATTTAGGCCGGAGCCTGACCAAATCTGACCAAATCTTCCCGTTTCGTCCCGAGACCGACGCTATCCTCCCGGATCCGCCATCTTCGCACCGTCTCTGCTCGATTCGGCCAGATCGACCCTCCCTTTTTTTATGACCCATCGTTCCGATACAGGAGGAATCTGGCCGCGCGGGACAATTCGGGACAATTCGTACGGATTCCTCCTCAATTCTTTTTTTCAAGAAACATCTAGTGATTTTTTTCCCCTCGTGTGTGGTCAGATTCGTCCCGAATCCGACCGTTTGGGACCTTGCGATCTAAAAAAATTATGGTTTTGGTCGGAATTGGTCGGAATCAGGGCGATGTGTTGCAGATCGGGAGGGGTTTTGGTTTTTTTTTTGGGTGGCGAACAAAGCGGGTCTAATCGGTGTGTTTCCTGCGGATTGGGACCGTATTGGACGGATTCCTCCTGAATCTGACAGATTGGAGAGGGACTTATGAGGAAAAAACATAAATCTGTATTTTTGTCCAGTATGGCGCTGCATAGTTACAGCAAATATGTGACACCGTTCCCTTTTGTTGGGCTATCTCGATGTGAGGATCAAGTCCGTTATGTATGTAAATAAATCATACTTCTCACGACCAGGTTATTGTTCGGCACTTGTGGAGAACCTTTACATCTTGCTCTCATCCAACTGTCAACCACAGCGTTGTCCTACACAATTGCGATTCATTCGCGACGTCGCGAAGTCCCAAAACATGGCGACAATTGTTTCCAAATGACTTCAATTCATAAACATTCGAACACCTTTGCTACGTGGAGAGCCCCAGCACCTCCTAGCGTTCGACTCGAGTGCGCCTTTTGTTCTAGATAGTGCGAGGTGTGAGTCCATATGCCGCACGTTCCTATGCAACAGGAACAATTGGGGAGTACGGTGTATAAAATCGAGCCTGCCTCTCGTTCTAAAGAAACCCTGAAGTTGGCCCATGGGTGGCTACGTATACTCAGTAGCGGTCAGTTATTTGCATTGACTACGCTTTTATGACTTCCTAACTGATACATGAGTCTAGGAGGCATCCTTGACAATTGCTTCCTTGCCAGTTGAAATCATTATTCTCATCTTCAAAGCCTATCTCGACCCAGGACCGCCATGTGAAGGGGAATTCCACGGTTATAGCGCATCCCTCTTTCGCCGCTGCCCCATCATCTTGATGCAGGTCTGCGTCCTCTGGAGGGCGATTTCATTGACAACGCCATCCCTCTGGACGTGTATATGCCCCTCCTACGAATCCATCCCAAGAATCCGCCGCTGGCTCACCATATGTCCTAAGTACCCCCTCGATCTTCAACTTGTTCGTGGATTATACCATGCCGTTTCCCAAGATTACGCCTCTTCTGTTTTCAATCTCTTTGCGAAGGAATCATACCGCTGGCGGTCGCTGTCGGTCGAGCTCGATCCTCATATGGCTGCCGGACTCGTCAGGATTTTGCAGTCCGACAAATCCATTCCATCCACCCTCGAGAAGTTGAAGGTTGACCCTTCCAGAGAACCGGAGCTTCGGATGCCCGTCTCCACATTGGAAGCGCTCGCAAGCCTTCTACCCCGCCTGAAATTCTTGCAACATCTTATCTGGACCGATAAATACGAGACATCCCTTCAAGGCGTTCCATGGGGCCAGCTCAAGACTGTCGTAATCGACGTACCCTCGTCACTGGATAATATCTTCTCCTACTTTTCCCAGTGCACGTCGGCCACGACAATCGCAATTCATTGGCGAAACTCCGAAGAATCCAGGGAAAACTCGCCTACCATCTCACCGTTTTCCCGCTCACACGCTTCCGAACCTCACCTCTCTCAAACTGTCGCGAGGGTGCGACCCGCTGTGGCTCCTGCGACACTTCACAGCACCCTCCCTTCAGCAGTTGGAGGTAGCCATACTTCGCCGTGATCAGCAAGTCCTTGAAGATTTCGTGAAGCGTTCGCCCAGCATCCATACCCTCATCATCGACGAGAGGTATGGTGAGGATTATGCCTATGCAGACGAGGCCCTTATCACTGATCAAGAAATCATCGCCTACCTCACAAGTCCTTGCTTGCGCGCCATACCGCGTGTCGGGCTCGACTTGCTGTACACGAAGAAGAGGATTCCGGCTCTGATCCAAGAAGGTTTGGAGGGCGGCCGACCGCTTCCGCCTCTGCTCTGCTGGATTCCGGAAAATTGGGATCAAAGGTTAGTTGGGTGGTGGGACGAGTTGGATCCGAAGTTGCATGTGTTGCTATTCTCCTATAAGGATGGGTCGATCGAACTCTCTTCAAAGTACGAGATAGACTCGGGCTATCCATTCTAAAGACTACGAACCTCTAGCTCCATATCATACCGCTCATTTTCTTCTGTGGTGGGCAATTTTTTCCTCTCCCAACAAACCAGTATACCCGTATCTCATCTCTCCTTCGTGGCATACTCCATACTTCATGTTCTGCAATCCATTCCTCTCTCACCATGAATGACCTTGCTTCCCTTCTCCTCGAAATCTGGCCTTTTCTTATCACCAGGCGCCACTAGTACTAAGTAGGTCCAGGTCGAGCGGTCTATCGCATGCGCATAGAAGCATGCTACTCATTAGCGCCTATCTCTATCTCGAAGAACAAATCATGGCCCGCGATATCTCGATTGAAATAGAGAGGCAGACGGTCACTGGGTGAACGTTGGGGCGCACTCGGGCCGAAGATTGCTCAAGAAATTCCCACTCCTTTTCGTACCCTCCTCTACTGCTCCCAAGTTGTCTTTCCCTTTTCCACCACGTTCCTCACCCTCTGACATGATGCTCAGAGCCCGTTTCGCTTCTGCAACGCGTCCAAAGGGATACAAATCTCTGTAAGTCCCACAATTCCATTTGCGTTCCATACGATTTAATGTATCCAAATGCCCAACTCCAGGAGCCGCTGTACGTGAGTAGGAGGTTTGGTGATGTCTTTTTGGAAAAGTCAAGTAGTTCCCAGGGAGGACGACTCGGACGATCAACGTTCGATCAACACTATTAGTATGTTCTTTGTCGCTCCATTCACCCCACGTGCACGCCGTGCATTCGGTTCACAAATCGCTGAAATCTCATTCCACTTACACTTGTCTATGTTCAATTGTTGCTCAGGCGTTCTCGGGAATCATAGTGCCCAATTGTTTGCAAGATCTCTTATTGAGTCAACAACAACCCGCTGTCACCGTCGTGTGTCGCTTGTGTCAGGCCATCGACCGCACTCGGAGGCAACTCTTTTGTTCTGCCTGCAGGAGAGCAAGCAACTTCCCACATCCTCTGGAAGAGGTAACCATGCTCTGTCGACAATTGCAGGAATCTATACTTAAAGACTCATTTCCCCCCTGACAACACGATACCGCTCCTCCTCTCCTCCTCTCCCTTCAGGTCTAACGCTATGAGAGCCTACTCCCCTGAGGTTTTTCACTATCATTCTCTTACGTGCGCCTTCGACTAATAGATATATTTAGAATATCGCTTCTCAAATCACCTCCTTGCCGGTGGAGATACTTACCTTCGTCTTTGAGCTTTACCTCAGCAGAGATGACCCGTTTGAAGACGAGTTCTACGGCTACTTTGACGAGAACCTTGCTGGCTATCGCAGCCCGCTCAATTTGATGCAGGTCTGTAGTCAGTGGCGAGCGATTGCATTGGCCACCCCCTCCCTCTGGACGTACATATGCCCTTCTTACAACCACATCCGCAACATCCGCCACTGGCTTGCCGTCTGCCCAAAGTACCCCCTTGATCTACAACTGGAAACTCGTGCGATTGGAGGCATTCCACGGGGCTATGGATATTCTGTCTTCAATCTTTTCGCCCAGGAGGCATACCGCTGGCGGTCACTGTCCATTGACTTCGACCCCGACGTGGCCAATGGATTCGTCAACCTTTTGAAGTCCGACCGCACCATTCCCTTGTTACTCGAAGATTTGAAGATCAAGTCCTCTCGACCCGATCATATGGTTCCCGCATCTACATTCCATGCCGTGGTCACTCTTCTACCCCGTTTGAAGGCGCTTCGACGGCTTATCTGGGCCGACCCGTTCGGCGAAGGTTCTTAGCACCTACACGGTCTTCCATGGAGCCGACTGACGACCGTTATCATCAAGCTTCCATCGTCCCTGGAGGATATATTTCTCTACCTCCTTTCACATTGCACATCCGCCACCACAGTCGAATTTTCGAGCGTGACTCCTCGCTACCCCCAGAAGACGCGCTTACCATCCCATAGCTTTCCAGATTTTACCCTTCAACATCTCATCTCCCTCAAACTCTCGAGTGGATGTGATCCCATATGGCTCCTACGACATCTCAGCGCCCCTTCACTTCAGCATTTGGAAGTCGGAATCCTCCGGCGTGGCCAGGAAGTCCTGGAGGAATTCCTGAAGCGCTCGCCTTGCATTCATACCCTCGTCATTGACGAGAGATTTGGCGAGGAATTCGCTTATGCAGACGAAGTTCTCATATCGGACCAAGAAATCGTGGCTTACCTCACCAGCCCTTTCCTGCGCGCCATACCTCGCGTTGGAGTCGACCTAATCGATACGAAGGAGAGGGTATTTTCCCTGATCCGACAGCGCTCAGATGCACGCCAACCGCTTCCACCTTTATTGTGCTGGAGGGAATCGTTGTATCGAAGGTTCGTCGGGTGGTGGGACGAATTAGACTCCAGAACCCAGACATTGCTGTTCTCTTATAGAGATGGGTCGATTACACTCTCCCCGCAGTATGAATTAGACGCGGACTATCCGTTCTAAAGACCTACAGTGTTCCTCCCAGTTTTCTTCAGCCTTTCCTAGTGGTTTACTTTTTTCCCCCTCGAGCTACATGATAGTATACCCTCATCATGCGTTGCATTTCATTTCATGTCTCTCTCTCCTTCTCTTTTCACTCCGCGCTGAAGATACTCCCTCGGAATGTAGAGTATGACCAAAAAAAACACAAGTCGGCCACAGTGGTTATCTAATCTCATCAAGTTATTCGGAAAATTCCGTGCGTTGCGGTCACTTCGCTAAGCAGTGCTATCGCTCTTGCTCGCTCTTGACTCCACAATTTGTGACTTGGCGTGTGCGAAACTGTGATCCCCCAAACCCTGCTGTCAATTGTCCTCAAATGATTTCTGAGCCTTTGCTTTCCACCAGAACGAGTCTTTTGTTCTGTAAGACGGACTCTGAGAGCCGTGAAGTGCGTTTCCATGCAACATAAACAATTGGAGTCCTGAACAAATATGACATTTAAAAAGCGAAACTGCCTCCGCAGAAATCTGAACGATTCAGCCCACTCTCCCTCAAGAAGTTCGCCGAATACTATCCATGGAATCTTACCGAGCAGAGGTAGATCGTCTGGTCGATTCCGTTATCCCGCCGTACTGACCACTTCCAGAATGCGCCCCCGACAATCGCTTCCTTGTCAGTTGAAATCCTCACCCTTGTTTTCGAAGCCTATCTGGACGCAGGACCACCATGTGGACGGCAATTCTACGGTTATACTGCATCCCTCTTTCGCCGCACCGCCATCATCTTGATGCAAGTCTGCGGCCACTGGAGAGTGATCACATTGGCGACTCCATCCCTCTGGACGTGCATATGTCCCTCGTATGAATCTATCCCAAGAATCCGTCGCTGGCTTGCCATATGCCCCAAGTACCCACTCGATCTTCGACTTGTGCGTGGATTGTACAACGATGTTCCCCAAGACTATTCTTCTTCAGTTTTCAATCTCTTCGCAAAGGAGTCGTACCGCTGGCGGTCGCTGTCTATACAGCTCGACGCTGACATCACCGCCGGACTTGTTAACATTTTACAGTCTCACAAAACCATTCCATCCTCCCTTGAGAAGTTGAAGATTGAACCTTGCCGAGAATCGGAGCTTCGGGTGCCCATCTCCACGTTGG